TGTGTGTGTGTGTGTGTAGTGTATATATATATATATATATATATATATATATATATATATATATATATATATATATATATATATATATATAATAATATAATAATAAAATAATATATATATATATATATATATATATATCTTTTTATAATTGCTGTAAAAATTTTGCGAATATAAGAAGATTATGTCAATGCAACAAAGTAATTTGGTCTTGTCACAAACGTGTTTTATCAAGCTGCGAAGATACGTAACAATTATGAAACACGAAAGTGAATGCTGTTTCCATGTTACAATTCTTATATTTGTGAGCTTATATGTGCGATATTTATAGCTTATGATTTAAGTTGAACTGGTTTTATTTTTTGTAAGAAGAAAGGAAATTTTATGCTCGAATAAGTTTGCTCTCTCTAAGAATAAAAGACGAATATTATATACAAATCACATATTTGACTATTCTCTATATTTGACTATTCTCTATATTTATTACAAGATAATAAAAGAAAAAAAAAGAATTGCGCTGTAAATAGCAAATAGATTGCGCTCTTCACGCTTGGAGTTATTTTATCCTTTCATGCGATTTCAAGTTAATCGTAAAATTACTTTGCTATTACCGGAAGACAAATGGATAAATTATGAATCTTTTATTGTTGATTTATTGTGTATTTACTGTGACAGCTGAGACATTAATAGCTTATTTAGAAAATTATTTAGTGTCGATATTCATATAAATTTTGTAATCGTATGTATGTAAATATTATATATTTAAAAATTAATATATTATATATTATTAGTAATTGATAGTCAGTAAGTTAATATTTGTAACCACAAATGCATATTTGGCATAAATATTTGATTTTGATCAGAGATTTTTAATTTATTAATTATACTTATTAAATAAATAAAAAATATATATTAAGTTTATTTTAATAAACAAAGAAAAATGTCAATTTGATCGTCAATTTGAAATCGTCATTTATCCGTTTTAATAATTTTTGTGCAAATCATTTGGTCGTCGCAATATGAATATTATATTTTAATATATTCCTTTTTTGTACACTTTTTATTTGTTTTTATTTGTTTCCATGTACTTAACAAGTTGTTTTTAAGAAAGAAATACAATTTTACTAATATAAATGTTGATATCTCGATAGAATCTATGGAGTTTGAAAAACTTAAATAAAATTTAATAAAACTCTTTCAATGACAACAGCTATGAGCATTGTAACACCTTTTGTCAATCACGTGAATGCTAGCATCTTGCTTTATCGATGGATTCTTACAGGAGAAATACAAATAATGCGATAATTAATAATACATGATGTCCGAGCGTGTATAATATGCTTTTTCTTTTGCTTTTCTCCACGATCGCATTTGTTATCAAACAACGCGCACAATAGACAGCATATTTCGTCAGCTTAGTCCTAAATACATTCTGATATGTATGTATATTTTTATGATCAACTACGTCACGAGCTACATAATAGGAACGCAGTCAAATAATTCCATCACTTGTCGCTGTCAGGATAACTATCAGCGTCGCACGAATACTTCAAATGTTTGCAAAAATGCAAAATGGAATTACCCATAGCTTTTATGTCAATGTTATTCTAATATTGTATCTTATGTCGTCGTTTGGGATTCGAAAATTACCTTTGCCAAAATTACGATGTTACATTAATACGATTTGATCAACCACTATTGAAATATATTGTAAAAATTCATCGATCTTTAATGATAAATTTAATCTGTGCAGCGATAATATAAAAAAAAATTTTTTTACGATATTACAATTATTATATATTTTATGTATAAATTCTTCTGTCCGAAATTCGCGCGGAAGAAACATACAATGCTCTTTTTTTCTAAAACAAGTAAAATTAAAAAAAGCAAAATTCTTCGAAACAATAATTCTCAAATAAAAGCAATTTGTAGCTAACGAATGAGTGCTTTAAATTATGCATGGAAATGCACATGTTACTTTTTAATTC